TTGAATCTATATGATAATAGTATTAAAATAATGGAATAAACTAATACTTTTGATGGTTATCTTGAATTAAAACTATACTTTAATTAAGATTGTTTAATTACATAATTAATTATAATTGAAAATTCACAATATCAGTATTAATGGCTTTATAGCTAACTAAAAAACAACAAAATCAATTAAACAAAACATAAATTACAATTTAAGTGTTATAATAACATGAATTGACAACATTATATTAAACATTCTCATTTTTTTAACCTGGTATCAAACGATAACATATCTTGATTTGATTATATTAATTAAATATATTTGTTTAAATTTTGTTTGATTAATGATTAAAATTATGATTTTTTACTATAATAATTATTGTATGTTAAATTGTATGTTTATATTATTTTATTAGTAAAAAAAACGTTTTTTAAATAATTTGTTATTATTTATTGTTATTTTTATTTTAATAAAAAACATAAAAAAGAAATCTGAGATTAAAAAAAACTCTTTGCATTTTTTCTAAAACATTAAATAATTTTAATTTATTTTTTTTATTTATTTGTTTTATTACTACCAAATAACTCAATTTACTTTATAATTTTTTTGCTTTAAATCTTTCATGTTTGATAAGTGCTTAATTTTCCCGTTTTAGTAGCATTTTAAATAGCAAAGTAATATCGATTCTATTTTGAGTATTTTCTAATTATTGTCAACTTTTGCTTTGTTGTTAATTTTTTTCTATTTTTTTCTAAGTAAAATGTCAAAAATAAATTAGAAATTTTTCGAAAAAGTTCACTAGAAAAATTCCATCAAGATATGTTATTCAAAACCACAAATCCCACAATTCGCTTTTCTTTTTACTTATTAAATAATTATTCACTATTATTATAAAACACGGGTTTCTTGTCTGTCTATTTAAAAAAACATTTTTACTATTTTTATCAATCACTTTAATAAAAAGATATACTATTTGATACTATTTCAATTGGTCAATAATTCATTTATAATAAAAATATTAATATAATATATCATATTTGAAATAAATAGCATTTAAATGTTTAATAATTCAAACAAAAACAAGATGTATTAACAATTGTTAAAAATAAAAAACTATACAATTCATTTTGTTCAATAATTCTAATTATTTTTTCAAGAAAAACAAACTCTGGCAATATTTAAGAATAACATTAAAAACAAAACTGCAAACTTTAATCATTTCCAATTCAATGAATAATATTAAAACTATTTTGTATCGATACTATATCTTATTAACAACCAAATAGTAAAATATAATTCAAATAAACTGATAATTAATAATTCGACAAAAAATATCCAATAAAACACGTGTGATCATTAAAGAAAAAAATGTTTAGATGACTTTTTCTTTTTTTTCCAAACAATTCAATTCAACAAGACAAATCTTGTATAAAAGTAAGTTATAATTTTGTATTTCAAAAAGATTATTAAATCCCAAAAGTCCAGAATTAATTATGTGTTGATCTTTCATCAGAGTATGGACTCGGGTTTCGTGCCAAGTCAAGAAAATATTATTTTTGGAATATAGAGCGAATAACACAAAAAAAGAACGAAATAGCGCACTTATAATAGTCCCAAATAATGCCAAAATGCCCAAATCTTACTAGAATATAGTCTTCTGAATCGTCAAAATTCAATTCAAAACTTAAGAATTTTTTACTTAGAAAAACTTCTTGGGTCAAATGACAACCTTTGTGATCAACCTCACCCTCTACACACAGAGTTCGCGTTGTTTCAACGCTCGAACTACGTTTCAAACTGAGATTCAACGCCAGTTGTTCTCTCTTCGAATCAAATTTGAACATGTGAAAAATTTTGTTTATCCATTTGAGGAGTTGCTCTCAGCAACTAAAAAGTTACTCACAGAAAATGAGCTGAATGAATGCTTTCCACCATTTAATGAAAGCACAAACTACTTTTCTCTCCAACAACTTGTCAGCGCTGCCTGTCAAGACGAAAACGTGTTTGAGACATTTGCATGGTGTTACCCACTCCACTGCTCTTCAGCCGATTTTTTAGCACTCTTTTTGAATCGATTTCAGTTAGCGATGTCCATAGACACCACACTCTCAAGAAGTCTTAGAGACCAAATTCCAAAGAGATTTTTATACTGGGTGACTAATGTGTTTCCACAGATACCAGAGTCTCTACGACTGAAGGCCCGTACCGACTTTTTATGTGTTTGTGATTGCCTTTTATCTTATGGGTTTCGAAAAATTGGAGAAGAATTGAAAGCCAAATTAGACAAGCCATCGGCCAGAGGTAAATTTAGAACTAGCTCTTCAAAACTTACATACTCGGATAATACAAAACTCCCTCTTAATTTCTTGCTGTTTAATGAACCTCTTGACTTCTTGTCTATTTCACCATTCAACTTTGCGCACGAATTAACGAAGATACAGTCAGAGCTGTTCTTTGACATCTCAGCATTTGAACTGTTCAAGTGGAATAAAGAGAAAGGAGTTTGTAAAGGCGTGAGTGCCTCTGTAAACTTTTTTAATCGTCTTCAGAATTTTTTGATCTTTGAAATTTTGGACCAAAAAAACATAGAAGAGCGAGTGAAGGTCGTCACACATATTATTTTGATTCTTGAGAAGTGTTACTCCCTTTTTAATTTTGATGCTGTTGTTTGTATAGTCACTCTATTTAATTCGGCCGCCATCCACAGACTCAAAAATACGTTCAGTCATCTAACCGACAAAACAAAATCAATTTTGGAGATGGTTTCTATGGTGGTCTCACCACAAAGCAACTGGGCGCAGTACAGACAAATACTAAGGACCTCAGAGCAAAAGTCTGTTGTTCCTTATTTAGGGCTTTTCTTGTCAGATGTGTTATTCACCGACGATGGCTCTCCATCCAAAAACAAGAAAAATGAAATCAATTTTGAGAAGAGTAAGAAGATGGGGAGTTACATTGAGTCATTTGACATGTATCAGAGGACGAAATTTGATATACCCGAAAACAGTGTTATTCGCGACTTCATGTTTAAAGTACAGAACATGCCAATTACAACGGACAAAGAGCGCTTTGACAAGTCCAGAAGTCTTGAGAAGCCATCGAGCAAAGAAATTGAAAGAACTGAAAATTTGGTGAAGGAGAAGGTTATAGTGAAAATGGTCAACAGAAAGGGCACCATAGAAACAGCCAAATTTTTCATAGACGACATTGTGGGAGACTTAAAAGGGTATTTACAAACAAGCGATGAGAACTTGTTCACTGAATTGAAAGTGTCTTTGATACAAGACGGCGGGATCCTTGATGTCGAAGACAACGCACAGATGGGAACACTCAAAGACATGTTTTCCGATGGAAATGCGCTGATGGTTTGGCAGCAAAGTGAGACTTATGATATATACAGTGATTTGGGGTATCAAGAAATGACGTTGGACACCACCCTTTCATTCACACAACAAAAGTTTGCTATTTTACGAGTTCTAAAAATACACGAAGAGGTTGTTGCCCTCAAAATGAAGCGAGCGAACTCGGAAGAAAACAAACAGGAGAACGTCATAGACAGTTTCTTAGACGTGAACAAACCAATTGGAGATGTGATAAAGACTGAAAACACTCTTTTACTTATTCCTTTAAGCAAGACGTATCCAAGCATTAACGAACAATTTTTATGTGGGTCACTATTGGATAGATTCGAGTTAAAGATTATGAAAACAACATTCACTCCATCAATAAGTCCAAGAACACAACATGAAGAGAATACTAAGAACGTGTCGTTAGTACACGCAGACCCTTTCATCATTTTAAAGACTACAGAAAAGGTCATTGTATTCCCTTTGGACAGTATGAACGTCGTTTATAACCCAACGAAAGAACGAGTTATACTAACATCACCATGTACAGACTTTAACATTGAAAATCCACTTGAATTAATTGGAGACAAACCTTTGATGAAAAGGATTGTGTCACTGTATCACAAAGCACCAGCGATGACTGGCGTGGAGTTAAACAGACTCAATTTAAATCACTTTGGAGTCCACCAACTCCTCTTTGATATCATCAACGAAATTTTTTCAAATCGACATTTCTTCGACGACAATTACTGGGACAAAACAGATTTAATTAAGGCTCAAGAGAAACTTTTAATGTGTGAGTTGGGGGAGTTTGTTGAACTAGATGAATATGATAATGACGTCTTGTTGGGGATGTTAGTGATCTACTTGCAATGTTTAGACAAACCCCTTTTTGGTGACTTCTCTGGCGAGTTGTCGTTTGTGAAAAACGCCGCACTTAATGAACGTTTGTAACTATGAATTATATCATTTTAAATTATATATTAATATATTACTATAACTAAGAAACTTATCTTGCAGATAATATTCCTACTATCTGTACTAAACTATTGACTTCACTCAGTAACTCTCCTGCTTTAAAAATCATTCATATTATACTCTTTGTATTCAATCAATGGATTGTAGTGCATCCAGACTTGGAATATAAACTCTCCCAATTCATTCATTTCTTCATTGCTAATGACTCCGGTATTGCAGAACAAAATCAAAACTTCCTCTTCTCATATTTTCTTAGAAATTTGCCAACACTCATATTCCCACCTTTTAGACCATCACTGATAGAAACTAAAATCCAAAAAATAAATCCAGCGACGTTAATTGCAACGTTATTCCCTCTCGACTTAAACTTCAAAAATAAAGAAGACAAAAAGTCGTTCTTCGAGCCGATTAATGAAAAGAAAAAACAGAGAGCTAGCTTTACTATTGGAAATCATAAATCAAAAAAGATGGTTGAGACCCCGCAGAGTATTTCACTCTCACCATCCCCGACTCACTTCACGCCTTTATCTAACTCATTACAATCCAACAGACTCCTTTCCGCTAATTTATATATGTCACGTTCAACCACTGCAAAATCGAGAATAGACACACAGACCACACCACTGGGTTCTGTTGCAAAGTCTCGAACTTCCTTTTTCTATAAAAAGGCAAACTAATTGTGAATTGTTTTAAAATGTTCAACTAGTTTCTATATTTTTTTAAGTTTGATAATAAAATCTGTTAACTTGTTACTGGTTTTTTACTATGAAAAATTAACAGATTTGTGTTTGTGGCAAATGTATAAAACTTATAAATATGGAATTTAAAAAAATAGTTTTGAGCTGGTTTAATAAAACCATATAAAATTGGTTGTTGTTATAAAAATAAACTTAATGTTATAATTATTATTATATTAATACTTTATTCTATTAAATATAATTTGTTTTTGAAAATGACTGTATTATATTTTATAAATATAATATTATAAAAATAATACAATTATTGCAATGTAGTACTTAATTAATTATTTAATTATCAAAAATATAGTTTTGAACATCAGAACAAACGAGCGATATTTATAGTAAAAAAATTAGATAATAATAATACTCCAAACAATTGTTGAACAAATATGAAAATTCAGTTAGAAAAGTATTATTTTTTGAAGAAGAAAAAAATAAAAAAACCTAAGAAAAGAATACTACCACTTGTCACGAATAAAAAACAAATAAAAGAGGACTCCAAATAATCACAAAGTACTGAATGACCGAAGGTCCTGTTAAGTGCGTCAAAACAAATTACAAAGTGATTTTGAGTGGAGATTCCAATGTAGGGAAGACAAGCATCACGCTTAGGTATGTGAATAAAACATACTCATCGGAGTATAAGACGACAATTGGATCGGACATATTTCACAAAGAGATTCAAGCGGATGGGGAGGTCTTAGATATGGCTTTATGGGACACAGCGGGGAGTGAAAAGTATCAGTCAGTGTTTAAAAACTATTACCGTGGGTCTGATGTTGTGTTTCTCGTGTTTGACTTGACGAATCAGTCGAGTCTTCAAAGTCTACCGAAATGGTATAATGAATATAAAAGTGTTGATTCGGTCGATGACAAAGATGTTTTAGTCGTAGTTGTTGGGAACAAATGTGACTTACAAGACCAACGACAAGTCCAAGAAGAGGGGAGAGAATGGGCGGAGCAAAATGGCTTCACATATGCTGAGACGAGTGCGTCGAATGATATAGGGATATCGGATTTGTTCTCGAGTGTTCTTCGACTGAAGAAACAAATGAGCTTTGAGTATCCGATACCTCCCCCACTTCCCGTCGTTGAAATCACCACACTTCCAAATGCCAAAAAGTGTTGTTAATTAGTAATCTATATGTGTTGTTTGTCTTGTGTGTGTTTCTTTTCTTTTAACTAAAAATTTGAGTGAAATTTGACTCAAAACATCTGAAGAGGTGATTCCTCAACATTTGTGGGGTTTTTCGATGAAGAAAATTTAACAAACTGATAAGAAGAACAACAAACGACATGACAGAGATCATCGAAAAACTAAAGGAAAATACAGACACCGAAAAATCGAAAATTTTGATGCGTTTTTTTAAGACGGGAAAAGGAGAGTACGGGGAAGGGGACATCTTCATCGGCGTGCCTATGCCAAAGATCCGAGAAATAGTGAAAACCTCAATGAAAGCCTTTGTTATAAGAAAGAAGCTTGTTTCAGGTAAGACCGTGGAAGATCTTTTAAATATAGCAAAAGTACTATTAGAGAATACCATTCACGAGGTTAGAGTAGCTGGAGGAGAAGTTTTGAAAATAGCAAAAGACATCGACGCCCAAAAAGTGTATCAATTTTACATAGAAAACACATCGCGATTTAATAACTGGGACTTAGTTGACTTGACATGTATATCCATCGTTGGCGGGTATTTAGAAAACAAAGACAAGAGTATATTATACCAATTTGCAGAGAGCGACAACTTGTGGGAGAGGCGGATATCTATAGTATCCACCCTCTATTTCATACGCAAAAGGAAGTTTAAAGATGCGTTGAAGTTATGTAGAATACTCCAAGATGATGAGCACGATTTGATACACAAAGCGTGCGGGTGGATGTTAAGAGAAATAGGGAAGAAGAATGAGAAGACACTGACGGATTACTTGGATGAGAACGGGTGTGTGATGCCAGCTATAACTCGGGCATACGCTTGCGAAAAGTTGAGTCCAAAGCAAAAGGAGTATTATAAGACTTTGGCTAAAAAGAAATAACACATTGGATTTATTAAGTGTTGTGTGTTTAGTGAGTTCTATTCAAAGGAATTGGTAATCAAACTAAAATTAATAAGACAACTTGAAGAAGCTGTTGAGCGGATGTAAAGTTAAAAAGTTAGACTTTGAAATGACCAGGGCAAAATCTGCACACGGCAACTAATACTAAAATGGTCAGAGTTACTATAGCAACACTCGAGACTATAATCGATGTCCCAACTATCTCCCATACTGTCATGTCAGATGCTCGAGCAATGCCAAAGAGGAAAAATACAACTAATGTCCCAATCATTGACTTTCTGTTTTTGTAATTCAGTTTTTGGGGGTGTTTTTGTGCGTTTGAAAGTTGTTTCTGTGGTTTTTAAACGGAAATATCGGGCATTTAATACTATTAATTTCTTTACTAGTATAATAGTTCATTTTATTATAATTTATACCATATTATATTATAGAGGGCAACATAGTATTTATTATTGGATACGTTATTAATAGAAATTGGTTTTATGTGTTATTATATTATTATTATAAAAAACCATTCATATAGAAACTAGACTGTCTAAAAATAGATTAATACAATTTAAAATGAATTACAGAAGAACAAACACACTGTTGTTTAGAAAAACACTTTTGGAACCATTTTTAATTTCAATCTCAAGATATCCAAAGAATTTAAAACTTCCCTTAAGATAAAAAGACTGTGTCGTGCTTGTTTTGGAGCGGTAATAATACTCTTCACCATTAATAAAGACTCTTGTTAATTCAGATAGCGTTTCTGATGTTATTATAATAGTGGCAGGCAATTTTCGAATTACTTTTGGCTCGATTTTGTATTCAGAATTTACAACTTTGGTATTTATATTTATTAAAGATTCTAATGCAGAAACTTCATTTGATTCTCCACATCTATTCACATTATATTTATCGAGAAACGGTGGCACTATTGCTAAGAACATCTATAAGTAACATTTGATCTGTGTTTCTATGTCAATAGAACAAACATTCAACTCGTTTTCGACGATTTCCAAGTCCATTAGAGTCATAGCGTGGAGATAACTTATTGACTCCATCACATAATTTTCTCTTTCATCTTTCATTAATAAAAGTTTCTGGTTTTTGTCTTTGATTATGTGATCAAATAGACGAAGTTCTTCACACACACTTCTCAAACAGTCTGCGTTCTGAAGGACATCTACTAACAAGTTTTTCTTAATACATTCGGGATCGGTGTTATATACATTGATAAACTCTTTGTTTGTTGTTTCAAACGATGTTCTGAAAGCCAAAAAGTCTCTTCTCATCGCAAAAAGTTTATCAAAGATGATGGCAATTGCACTTGATTGTGCACTCTTTCTCTCTTTCATCACTTTAAGTCTTTGGACATAGTTGATATACTTCTTTTCGCACTCTTCACAGCAATAGATGTCAATGTCTTTATTCAAAAATTGCATGTGGTACATCACAATTTTAGAACACTCCAAACAGATGAACCCAATACCACAAAACCCACATACACTCGATGTGCTTTCAAAAATTTTGTTCTGACACTTGATGCAAATTGTTCGTTTTATGTGTGTGGCCAATATAGGCTTGTTATAAAATACGGTAGTCCCATGACGCTCAATGTAATCTAAATTGTATTCGATGGATTCTGAATTTGTGTTATTTTGAATTTTCCTCTCGCGAGCTTGTAACATAACTTGAGTCTTGTCTTCAATGATTTTACTCATTGTCTTTTGAGTTCTACAATGAATTTATTAATTAAAAATATATTACAAAATATGGATATGGTATTGTCAATTGCACACGCCAAAAAATAATATTTTTATTTGGAGAATAAGTGCTTTATTGATTTATTGAGTTGGGTATTATGTATTATTATTTGAAAACGTTTTTATTCAAAAAATATATATTTTGTATATTACTTTCAAGACTACATTATTTGAATAATCATTTTACTATATATATAGTATGATAAACTAATATTATTAGGTATTTGCATTTAACAATTTTTATAGAAGTTTGTTTATATAATATTTATAATATTTTTTATCAATGTTTAACAAATTGAAAATTAATAAAATATTAGTTCTAATCTAATTTACTGTTTAACTATATTAATTCATTTATAAACCAATTTTTAACTAGAACAAACATCCAAAATAAAAAATCGGGAAAACTCAATTATTAGTCAGAAATGAAAAGGCGTTTTGGGAAAAAGCCTTTGAGCGCAGCGCAGATTGCTGTTCTTAAAAAACAAGAGGAGCCCGAGTGTGACTTAGTTTTGGAGATAATGAGTGCGACCGAGTTTGGCACATCACAAAAATCCGTTCCAAAAGAAGCACTTGCTGTCTTTGAAAGGACAACTGGACATAGAAAAGATCATGGGCACTTTCTACCACTTAAAAAGTACGACAGTGTTTTTTCCCAACTTCGCTCAACAGGACTGAAAGTTCGAGAAATTCCCAACGAAGTCATGAGACACTTCAATTCGTCGCAAAACACACCACAAACAACAAATTTTGATGATATACAAAAGCGACTCCCCTCCGCTCTCAGAACCAAATTAAAAGATTTTCAAAAGGATGGCTTCTTATTTGGAATACAACACGAAGGAAGATGTCTTATTGCGGACGAGATGGGACTTGGAAAAACCCTCCAAGCTATTTCAATAGCTTCTTATTACCAGAGAGAGTGGCCTTTACTTGTTATCTGTCCTTCTTCAGTGAGACACAACTGGAAGGACGAAATCCTCAAAAACAATCCATTATGTGGGTCTGTTAATGTGATACTGTCTTCCAATGACTTGTCGATGCCTTTTGGGGATGTCACGATCGTCACGTTTGTATTTCATATTACTATTAAACAATTCCCTCTAATCATCTAGATATGAAATAGCTTCAAAACACGCCGAGTTGTTCATTAAAAAGAATTTCCAAGTGATTGTCGTCGACGAGTGTCATTACCTGAAAAATCCCCAGTCGAAGAGGTGCCGAGAGTTGTTGCCGGTTTTGTTGAACTCTAAACGAACAGTTTTACTCAGTGGGACGGCACTTTTGTCACGCCCGTGTGAACTATACCCACAACTTCAAGCACTCAGATTCCCTATATTCGACTCATTCCACAAATTTGCAGTGAGGTACTGCAAAGCTCGTGTTGGGCCATTTGGGTGGGACTACACTGGCAATTCTCATTTGGCAGAGCTTCATGTCTTGTTGAGTAACAACGTGATGATACGACGACTGAAAGATGACGTATTGAAAGACGCAATTCCGGAGAAAGAGCGAATGACCGTTGAAATTGCAATACCCGAAGAAGAAGCGCAGCGGATGCAGAGTATTCGAGACGCCGCAGAACTTGCAAGGAGGAAAGTAGGAGGCGAGTTTGACAAGTTACAAAAGCAGGCGCAGTTCTTGGAGTTTTACGTGATGAGCTCGAAGGCAAAAGTCGTTGGCGTGTGCAAATTCATTGAGAAGATGATACTTGAAGGGACAAAGTTTTTAGTGTTTGCGCATCATCAAGAGATGCTTGATGCCATCGAAGAGTTTGTGAAGAGTAAAGACATTGGGTACATTCGCATTGACGGGGCGACACAACCGACCGTCCGTTCGAAGTACGTTGATAAGTTTCAGAAGAATCGAAACATGAAAATAGCGATATTAAGTGTGACTGCCGCGGGGACGGGGATTACACTGCATGCTGCAGATACTGTTGTATTTGCGGAGTTATACTGGACACCGGGGATCTTGAGACAAGCGGAGGATAGAGTACATCGAATAGGACAGAAGAATAAGGTGCGAATTTTTTATTTGATAGGGAAGAAGACTGTCGACGATTACATCTGGCCTTTACTTGAAAAGAAGCTGTATATAACTGGAGAGGCCCTTGATGGGAAAGAGAGTGGTCACGATGCTATGGATGTTGAAGTTAATGTTGAGGTTGAAAAGACTGAAGAGCTTGAAGACGACATTATCGACTGTGACGAAGACATGAATGAACAAGAGAAAGAAGAGAAGGAGTCTTTTCGGAAGAAGTCTAAAACAGTTGATTTAGAGAACTCGAGTGAATTATTGGATGAAGCAGTGTTTGACATTGCGAGGAAAAAGACTAAGACGACCATCACTGTGAAGGATTATGGGAAGAAAAAGAGTGAGGGGAGTCTCCCTCAAATGGGGGTGTTGGAAATGAAGAAGAATAAAAGTTCTGGAACATTAGAGAAAGGTTCCGGTTCAATTGAAAAGTTTCTTGTTCTGGGGAAACAAGGAAAGAGTGGGAGTGTGGAGGGGTACCATGTGATGGATGAGACCAGCAAACAATCAAATGAAACGAGTAAAAATAAAGTCGATGACTTAAATGAGTTGTACACGTTTCAGAAGTTCGACGAGTTTCAGAAGAAACACGAGAATGAGAAAGTCGAGAAAATGGAACTGATTGAAAAAGACGACCATCAACATAAAATGGAAGACGTGGGGTGTGAAGATCTTTCAAATATTGAAAATGATGGTGCAATAGAAGATGAAAGGCCAATTCTTGTTGAACCTTTAAAATATGACAAACTGATGAAAACAAGTAAAGTCGTCAAAGTCGATGTTCCCCAATACGAAGAGAAAAGTCATTCAACAGAGAAAAAGAAAGGGAATAAGGAAACCAAGTTTGATCCAAATGCGCCGAAACTTAAAGCGAGTAACGGGAAACCTTTGATGCTAATGGAAAGTGTGCTCCGAGAAGAGAAGAAAAAGAAGAAGTCGTTGAATGATTACTTCAAAGTGACCAAACCGATGTCGTCCGCCTTGAAGAAGTTTGGTGCGGAAAAAGTCAAGGACCCATCTGTGTTGACAGAGAGTGCGATTGAGAGTGTTTTGAATGAACTTGATGAGATCAGTTTGATGAACAAAGCACAACTTAAGGAAAAGGAAAACAAAAGTTCGAAGACAAAAGCGTGTGCCGAGACTATGCCAAGCAAAGTTGCAAAGGAAAGTGTGAGCGGAAAATGTCTTGTTAAAGCCTTAGAGCAAATGCCACCAAACATCAAATTTTTCGACTTGACTGCGCAAACGCACAAAACGTTAAACACCACAAAACCTAAAAAAGAAGACTTTTTATTGGAACGTGCAGACAACACTATTAAAGCCTCTGAAAATGTGTTTGACGACTCTGTGTGTAAACCGGTGTTGAAGGCACAAACAAAGCAAACTGAAGTGATTGAAATATCGGATGACGAGTCGTTCAATGTTCACCCCCAACACGAGTTTCAGGAATCTAAAGCAAATTCTGACACAACAACTTCAATGAATAAATCAGAGCCAAAACAGGTGGTAAACCTTGAGAAAAAGTGTGTTGAAATTAAGTTGACGAAATATCAGAAGGAAACCCTTGGCACCCGAATGGGGGACACTGACGTGAAACGGAAGAAGACACCAACAAAAACACTCAACGAGTACTTTAAAGAAAAGAAAGAAGGTACGAAACCACGAAGTGAGAAGAAAAGAAGTGTTGTGTCAATTGTACCGAAGTTGGGAAAGGCACTTGAGCTTGATGAACTCGACTTGGAACCGAATGAGTTTGAAGGGTTGATGTCTGGCTTTGGGAAGTCGGGGAAGATGGTGTTTAAAGCGCTAGGGCCGAAGTGATTGTATATTTACAAAGAGCGACATGCCATAGATGTAGACGTGTTGATTGTAATTGAGAGTGTTGAGTACTTTAAAAGTTTTGAGGACTGAACTGAATAAAACAGTTATTGAGGGATGATTGCATTGATGAGACAAATAGAATCTACTCTCCATTGCAAAAGAATTGGGGTTGGAGTGTGTAAGTGTGTTTCTGTAGTGTGGATGGACGAAATATGTCAACGACTTAATAAGGGAAAAGAAATGCTACGACAAGGGTTTAATGTGAGTAAAGCGGAGGAGGTAATAAAAGAAAAGGTGTATGTTCCAATGATTGAAAAAAGATGGATCAAAGCTGTTAAAAGTGGAGTGTATTCACACACTCTACTCAATGAAAATTGTGTTATTGGAAAAGATGTTGTGATATTATCTGAAGGCTATCAGAAGCAACTTGAAAGTCTCAGAGGAAAAATGGACTTCTCATGGTTTGTTTAGTATTGGGTTGGTGTTTTATACTGAGGAAAAGGGTACCTGAAGTGACTGTCATCGAAATTTATGGCATGACTAAATTAATTCGAGAGTATCCAGTAATTACAATATCTGTTTTTGGTATCCCAGAAGCACAAAAAGTTGTTGAAGTGTCTTCTATACCAAATGAGGAGGTGGAGAGTTTCCACAAAAGAGTGTCAAAAATATTAAAAATAGAAAAAAGTGAAAGTACATTGAGTTTCAAAGGAAGGGTCCTCACAGAAAAAGATAAAGTGTGTTCGCCAGTGTGTTTAAATGTTGTCAACAAGTTAACTGCTTTTTCTGCAACTGGGAGCACTTTTGGTCTGTCCATTTTTTAGTCTTTAGTTTATTTTATTGTACTTATAGCATTTGTTTTTTTTTACAACTTTATTAATAATTAATAATTGTTTATTATTAATTATTTTATTAATTATTTTGATTATTTTTTGTAATTTGACAAATTTTTTTTTAATTACTCAACATTAAAAAAAATAATTTTTTTTTCTAAAAAAGTGTTTGGTTTTTTAAAAAAAACAAGCTGATTCTACACAAAACAAATGTTATAAAAATTTATATTATTTTTTTACTATATTTTTACTATATTTTTAATATATTTTTATATATTAATATAATTCAACAATTTGTTTTTGTTGTAACTTTTTTGAAAAGAAAAAGTTGCAAAACAATTTCAAAAAAAGACTTTTAAAATCAAAAAATGCACCTTTGTTTCACTAAGAGATTCAAAAATAAAAAAAAAGAAATTGTTGAATAATTTAGCTAATTTAACGGGAATTATTTTATAAAAACACATTATTATAAACTAAAATAAATTAAGCCGTTTTTTTTAAAATAATTTTGAAAAAAATCGAAAAACAACTTTACGGCTTTTCGAGTTTTTTGGTTGAAATTTTTCGTTTTTATTATGTATAAAAATAAGTTTTGTTAAAATATTTTTGAAATGCACAACATTAGAATAAAGAGTTTATGAACAAAGACCTTTGCCAAGAAAATATTAAAATAATTCAAAGTAAAACAGACTTTTTTTATTATTATGTTATATATTTGTAAAACAAATTCACATCTTAAAAATATTTTTATTAATGGTTATTTTAGGCTGTGATTCAAACATTCATCTTAATGTTAGCATGAAATGATAAATTTGTTTTTATATAAAAGATCTAACAACCCATTTTTATATCTGTATGACTTTTCAAACCAATCGGCTTTTTCAAACGGATGTCCCGTTATATTAGTCTTATTTTTACAAATCTGTTATCTGTACAATTCATTTAATTAAAAATATAGTTATTAAATTGTGTAATGTTCCTCAAATGTTAGATAGAATTATGCGTTAAATAAAAATGCAATTGGTATCTTTATTATTAAACAAATAACGTACACGATATAAAAAAAGATAATAACAGATCGTTTTTTGGTTAAAAAAACGGGAAAATCAAAATATTTTATTCGTATGAGAAAAGAAAGAAAATTCACATGGAAAAGATCGCTTTAATTATAGTTAAATTATGATTTTATAATAATTTAATAAACTATAAATCCAACGACTTTTCCACAGAAAATTTACCAAAAAAGTGGCTGGAAAAGTTTGGGGCAATAATAATTAAACAAAATTGATTTATCCTGATAATTAAACACCACATTCAGCCGTAATTTGATTGTTTTAAAAATAGTGATGGGTTAGTTTTTAATTTGAAAAGATCAGCAAAAGTCAAAACTGCCAAAAGAAAAAAAACACAATTTATAATAATAATTGTAATAGAAAATAAAACAATTTTATAGATAGGAACGTGTTGGTTAAAAATATCAGGCGAAATCAGTGCATTACAATAGAGTTAAATAAATAAAAATATATAGCGTTCGTAAGAAAAAACATTGAATAGGTATTAAAAGGTATAAAAAGAGATTTGAAAAAACAGAGTAAGAAAGGATGTCTCAAACCACGTTCAAGCTCTCAGCCGAGAAGCGTGAGTACTACGCAAAGCAGAAAAGCGACACAAAGAATTATGAGAGTATTCAACAAGCTTTTTTGTTGGCTTTGTTAAATGATACATTTGGTTTTGAAATTGAGATGCCTGCCAAGTTAGCAACCACAACACTGAATATGCCTAAATTACGAAACTTGTATTACGGTAAAGAAGTGATTCAAGTAAAAAGACTTTCAGAACAGATCCACTTGAAAAGTTACATTTTTGATATCAACAGTGGAATTAAAGAAATCACTGCGGGGCGGGCCTTTGAAAGGAAGAAGAGGTGTTTTATTAATAATCTTCTTATTGATTACGCCTCAATGATCGGATACTCATTTGAGTCAAAGTTCTCAAGAAAGACAAAACACGGGTTGCAAATAGAACGGATCACTGCAGTTTCAAAAGATGGGAAGGTTGTCTTTAACAAAAATGATATTGAAAAGAGAGGCAGACTTATTAGCAATTATATGTTCTTCTTAGTAAGCTCTCAGGAAAGTGTGAAGCTTGATTGTGGAAATTTGACGTTGGCGAAGTACCTTACTTCTACCCATTCCAATTTGATGACTATCAAAATGGCTTGATGGGATCATAAATAGTAATTAAATAGATTTTTTTTCTATATTGTTTAATAATTGTTATTTTTATAATTTTTCGTTTATTAAATGACATTCTAACTTCACTTATACTTGTTATTATTAGAAATATAGTTATTTTTGTTATTATCAAACTAAATAGATAACTACTATTAACAAACTATTATTAAATTAATGATTCTTTTTAAAAAAGTTTCTAAACAAAATGGTGACATTTTCTATTAATATAGTAAACAAAACTAATATGTATAGCTCAACCCAGACCTAATGTTAATTCAATAATAAATAATTTGAAAATAATAAAAAACACAATAAACCATCAATTTACAATAATTCAAATCCGATTTCCAAACATCTCCATATATGCATTGTTGATCTTCATCATATAATTCACGTCGTAATTTTCTTCCCCCTTTCTTCCTCTTTTCTTGATATTGTCAAGCTGCTTTTTAGGGACTGAGGAATAGAGGTATATCAATAAATCAGAAGAGTCCTCCACCGTTTTATATATTCCATTTTCTAGAGACTCAAAAACACTTTTCTCATTTGAGTATGCCATATCCCGAGCTTCCATATTGAAGGTGTCTGTTGTTGGTATTTGATACTTCTTTTCGATGACATGTATCTTCTCAATCAGTTTGTCGAAGTTTTCTTGTGATATTCTTCCGTCGATAAGAGACTGGCGCGTGAAGAGTCCGACTGAATCAAAAGGACCTCTTTCCATGATAATAAGCTTCTTTGTGGAGCAGAAGTCGGTCAACTGTAAATCGTAGCAATCTAACACAAAGGACTGGAACTCAAAGCAATTCATTTTACCACTCAAGAAGTCCTCTAAATACTTCTTGCCCTTCTGTGGAGAGTAATCAATGAACTCTTGAACGATACCAACAGCATTGCCGTAGATGAGTTGAATCTTCTCTATCAGTGTAGTCTTCCCGACACCAACACCACCTGTGACGACGATGAATGAGTGTGTCTTATGTTTGTCGTTTGATTTCATATTGTTGTTTAAGACACTTGGCATGTAATTGATTCTATGAGTTTTCTTCGAGTCTTATATAGGAAAGTATTTTCCCTTTTTTTCTTATTTTACAGGAAAAGGGTTGTAATTTTAAAACCCTTGTTGACTTTTTCTGTCCTTTCGAAGTCGAAAAGTGATTGCTCCATAACTAAGTAAATAACGGGAAAGTGAACCAATTATTTGAATTTTGTATTATTGAATTTAGAGATTTGGATTGTTTTTGGCATTAATCATTAATAAGTATTTCAATCAATTGTTTTTAATATTTTTTATTAAATTAAATAACAATGAATAGTGTTTTTTTTGATATTGCCGTGTTTGGATATAAACACCTTTCTAACAATCTTGTCTTCTGTTTCATTCTATTTCTTTTCTTGTCGTCGATTTCAGGAAAGAGATAAATAATTGTGGTAATTAAAAAACTCAAAACAGCATTTGTAACAATAATTAAGGATTTTAATTATGAATATTGTGGGATATTTGAACGTTTTCGACATTTATAGGACAAACAAGTTTTTTTGTTAATTTTTTTTTGATTATTATTAATTTAATTATTTATTATTTATTTATTAATTAAATTATTCGATAATAAAATATTAAATTATAAATTAAAATTTAAACCAACTAATAAATTTATTAATTTTGTTATTCATTTATTATTTTTTACTATTATATAATGATAAGATTTTATTAAAAAGGTTAATAAAAATTATGATAAATATATTAATAATATATGGTTACTTTGTTTGAATAAATCTATTAAATAACAATAACAATTATTATCTATATTTTGATTTCAAATATTATTTTGTTGTTTATTATTTAAATATTATAAGTCATATCGATAATATTATTACTTATCTAATATATTAATTGATTTATTAATAATATTTATTAATTAATTAATTAATTTTATATATTAATAAATAAATGGATTAAAATGAACAAACATCAAATTAAATACTTAAAATTTACAATTTTAAAAAACAACACTACAAATCTGATCCATCATTTTTATAAAAATATTAACTTGGAACTTAAGTAAATTATAAAACAAACTTGTTGAATGAATTATTTTTAAATTGTCGACACAATTCAATTTATGAATCACAATAATAATAGTAAAAATCAAAAACAGGGTGAAAAAAGTATAAATTCTGGTTAAAAATAAATTTATTCAAAATATAAAGTAATAATAATAAAGTATGGTATTTTTTAATGGTGACTGAAAAATAATAAAAATACATATTTATTTTATTGTATTTTAATTGCTCGAATAATAGATTATAATTTTTTATTGTTATTTGTACGAAAAATAAAAAGTACAAGTTTTTTAAATACTTTTCATAACAGTGCACATAAGTTCCGTTTTTCTAAAAATAAGAAACTAAAAATGGCTTTTTTTTCAGACGAAATCCATAAATAAAAATCGCGTCACTTTCCAGTTTTGTAGCAGCAGTTGTTCTTTCCTCGTTTTTTCAGTTCTGCTTTGTATCATGTTTGTTTACTAAAAGTTTTGCATTTTATACCACTTGGCGCAATATGCCGAGCCAATAAACTGACATTAATTATAAACTATAATTTTTTACATTGAAATTAACAACTTCCCAGATGAAATAAAACATTCTGTTCGAAAAGAAATGAAACTCGAATTATAACCAAAAAAGACGAATCTCAGACCAATGGGATTCGAGTTTTGTTTAAAAACAAAATCGTTTTATATTTTTAGAAATCTTCGATAGTTTCGATTCTGCGGCAATTTTTGTCAAAAATTCGCAATTAATTTAATTTACAACCCCCTATCTTGCCTTTCATGACCGATTTTTCTGAATGAAGCTTATGCATTAAGATCTTTATCCATTGAGTCCCACAAAAAACGGCCCAAAAAACTTCGAATACTATTGCGGCGTCGTGTTTCCAGTGTCTCCACGTAAAACCACTTTAAACGACTAGTAAAATAAACTATACAAATAAACCATTCAAAAACAGAAAAACAAAAAATACTGCACATTAATTCAATCGATTTCGTGAATTAACACGAAACACACAATAAGTAAATTGAAAGAAGTGGGAAGAATCTGAAATAATGGACTCAATTTATTGTTCGAAAATTGGGGTTTCTGGGCCTATATAAATCAACTTGGAAATACGAAATCACTCCACATGAGCAAATGCAACTGTCTGTTCTGCTCCGACTACTTAGAAGCCGTCCAGAAACAAAAGAGGCTTGCATGGACTACTCTCTGCCGTCTTGCCTTTCTTTCTATAGCCGAGACGCAGGAAAAGCCGACGGAATTCATTAACGTCAGAGAGCTCTTTAAGTTCATCCAGAATCACTGGGACAAGATTTGCCACTTGGAACAACTTAAAGCAAAAAACTGGAGGAAAAGTATTTTGGACGCACTGAACCACTCCGACTACTTCCAGAGTGGAATCAGTCAATTCCACACAAATGGATACTGGAAACTCGCAGACACAACTATCCCAAATATCAAAAACAGAAAGGGGAAGAGTGAAGAGAAGGTGCCATCCCCTTTTGTTGCCAAAAAGATTATTCAGCCTGTCGATAAAAAACCAAGACACGCTTTCTCTCAGTTCAATGACGAAGAGGAGGTCATTGAAGAGGAAAATAGGAGAAAGGAAGTACAGATAAGGGAGTGCGTCGACACAACCCCAATAAGAGAATACAGAAACGAGTACTTCGACCAACGTTATTATGACTTGTACCCGCCACACCATGACGGATACTACTATCGAAGACCTTATCGCGAAGAGTATTACAGACCTAGAGAGTTTGAAAACACTGACTACTTTTATCAACAGCACCAATTTGCATAAACCAATGTATATATTTTTTGCTTTGTACGTGTAAACACATACTTAATACCATGTTTTGTAAAGAATGATGGAATTATTGTTTGATACTCTATATTTGTGTCTGAATAAGTATTGACCAAGTCTAATTAAGAAATTAAAAATAAACTAGATGGTTAAAAACAAGTAAAAACATTGTGAACAACAGTTTTACCTGTTTTTGATGTCTTACGAATAATGTTTTTCACATAAAGTTTCACTCAAAAAATTTCGTTGGTTTACTTTTTTTTTAGAAATTTTCCCGTTGGTTACGGTGTTTTATACCATTTGGCGGTTTATTGTTTCAATTTGATCAATGTGTTAGTTTTAATAGCATCGGCAAAGTTATTAATTAATTAGTGACTATTAATATTTTTATTATAAATAATAGTACATTACCATTATGTAAACAAGTGTTTTTGGGGAAGAAATAAGTCGTTATTAGAAAAATAAAATATATAACTTTTATAAAGTTATATAAAAAATACTTTTTATTATTAAAGTAATATTATATTACTTTACTATTATATAATAATATATATTATTATATATATTAACAATATATACTTTTGAAATAATAGAAGTATCAACTTTAATGATCAATAGTCTTCAGGAGTGAAAAAATAAAACATATTGCGTTGTAATAACATGACATTTTATCTTTATTCATTTTATTGCAATTCATTTTTGTGAATTGTGCTTTATGAATTAATCCCATATATATAACAAATAAACTTGAGTTAAAGAAGATATTTCTACGATCAATATTTTCACCCATACAATAGAAAAATATTTTATCAAAACTATGCACCAATTCTTAATATAAATAAATATGTAAACGACACAACACAAATATGAGCGTCCAGTTAATAAAATAAATAAATAAAGTGAATTGGATTACTTCTTAGGTGGCTGCTGTTGTGCCTGAGGTGGGTAACCGTACTGACCTTGAGGAGGGTAACCAGGATATCCTTGTTGTGGTGGATACCCTTGAGGTGGGTATGCTTGTTGAGGAGGATACCCTGGGTATTGACCTTGCTGTTGAGGGAGATAAGCTTGTTGGCCTTGTGGTGGGTAACCGTATTGACCCTGAGGAGGATATCCCTGTTGTTGGCCTTGTTGTGGTTGAGTAGGTTGTGCTGGTTTAGCTTGGCCTTGAGGTTGTTGTGCGCCTTGTTGAGGTGGGTACCCATATTGGCCTTGAGGAGGATAGCCATATCCTTGTTGAGGAGGATATCCCGGGTATTGTTGAGGAGGGTAACCTGGTTGACCTTGTGGTGGGTACCCCTGTTGTGGTGGATAACCTTGTTGTCCTTGTGGTTGACTTCCTTGTTGAGGAGGATACCCAGGGTATTGACCCTGTTGTTGTGGGGGATAAGATGGTTGACCTTGAGGAGGATAACCTTGTTGTGGGGGATACCCATACTGGCCACCCTGTTGTGGTGGGCATTGTCCTTGTTGAGGAGGATAAGGTTGTTGACCTTGTGGCTTTGGGGCAGCCTTTTGAGCTTCAATAGTTTGGTAAGATATACTAATAGAACCTTTAGTATTCAAATTAAGTTCGGCAGAAGTCATTTGACCATTTGGAGTCTTTTGGATGACTAAGTCAGCTGTCCCGATCTTGTCATCTTTTGTTTTGTCGTCGTGATCATACACTTCAAAAACAGCCATCGACCCAAGAACAACATTATGGAATTCAAAAGTTTCATTCCACGTTGGGTTGCAGTTTTTCAGAATAAATTTAGTTCTTTGTTGTTGTCCAGCAAGTGAGACGATTGTATAAGGATCACTTGTGAAGAGATCCTTAGCTTTCAATTTTGATGCTCTGACAACTGTAATTCTGACAGTAACAGTACCCTGAGAACCGTTGCCAGTCTCTGGTTTTGGTGCAAATGGGGAGAAGTAAGCCATGTGTGTTATTATCAGTTTTCAAAACTCATATATTTCTCTTCTGTTCTCAACTTAATAGCATTTCTTAAATTACAGTTAACACGTTGTATTATTCTTATTTTTTTACTTCTTATATTCTTTTTGTGTTAAAAATTAATTATTTTGCCGAAGAATTATTCCTAAGAACTTGAAAAATGAATTGAAAGAGGGATTATTATGTCTAATTCTAATAAACGATTGGATTACTATCGTAAATAGTAACATTTCCCGTTTGTTGTGTCAAATAACACGTCATTTATTATTAAATATTTTTTATTTCTTTTTGCAAATGTATTTTACCAAAAAAAACACTCAAAAACTATATTAATTGATATGAATAGTTTTTGTTAATACATTTTATTATATATTTAATAACAAAAACTTTTGTGTTTTTTTAATTAAAATGTATTTATAATTCAGTGTAAAAAAATACAACAAATAATTAATTTGTTTCTATAATTTTCTATTATTGTTTAAATAATAATAAATATAATTTTACTTTAGACTTTGTTTTTAAACTCGGCCCAATTAGTTCACAATGTGACTTCAAGTTCTATTCAAATTAAAAACACACAATTTGTAACAAAAGTCTTTGTCCCTCTAAAAACTTAAAAACAAACAACACGAAATTATTTTTATCACTTCTGTGGACTTGAGGGGAGGTCATTCTCTTGTATCTTTAATTGTTTGAGTGTGTTATTTTCCTGTCTAATATCGTCTCTGACGTCATCAAGATGTAAAACAGTTTCTTCTGATGCTTTAAGTTCGCCGAGTGTTTGTTTAATCTTTTTGAGAGAGAAGCAAACGAGGGACAAAATAGTGAGGAAAGATCTGATCTCTGTTTTCAACGCAAAATTTTCCAATGTAATTGACTCGTCTCCAAGTGCCGCGTATTCCTTTGGGAATGACACTGCTTGGAGTTCTGGCCCGAACATTTCGCAGAAGTCTAAATACGTTTTAGTGGATTTATTATATATTCTATTTGTTACTATACTATTACTATAATATTCAATACTCTGTCTTCTCTTCAAAGTCGTAAGAACAGTGTAACAAACTGACTCATCACACTCAATATTTCAACGGAAAGATCCTTTTTCACAATATGCAGCACCGCGTTTTCTTGTTGAATGATTGGGACATCAAGTGGTTGCGTCATATACGTCAATAACAGTGTTAATTGGTCTTCAAGAATCATATCATCTTTGACCATTGGGTCATATTTATTGAAGTGGTTGTATTGTGAGCTGTGAAAATATGCGTTTGTCGTCGACGCTTCATCGTCCTGAAGATTAAGTTTATTGTCGGTGTTGTTGTCGAAGAACCTTGATATCGCCTCGTTTTTGTTGACCTTTGTTTGCACCTTTTCTGTTGTACCTGACAACTCTGTGGTGGTTTGTGGAAATGGAGTGAGAAATGTCATCGATTGGTATAGAAATAGTTATTAATTAGTTTCTTCACTTTTTTACTAACTAAAAGTGCTTTCATTTAGTATAGTTTCTTTATTATAATATGTATTATTATAATATTATGAATTTTTGAAAAACTATTAAATTATTTTGATACTATTTTATGTTATTGGTATAACATTTGTTTTTAAAGTTTCAGGTTGTCTCAAACAAAATTAATTATATAGTAAATAAATAATTTGTTGTTAGTAAATAATATATTATTGTAATACTAAAAAAGTTTTTCTTTAAAATTAAAAAATAATTGTTAAAACAAACTGGAAACAAAGTATAAACAAATAATAATAAAATATAATAAATTATTAGTTATCTATTGATATATTTTATTCTTCTAAAAAATAGAAGTGATAGTTTGAGTTGATAAATTGTTGAAACTTAGAGTCAAAACACACCCAAAAAAATAGATCATTTATAGTAAACTAAAATAGAGCAAAAAGTCGCACAATAACGGGCAAATACCCCTGCTTTGTGTTTGACTCAAACTCACGAAATGTTTCTAATACATTAACTATACAAATAAAATGAATATACGAGTGAAAAAGTCAAAGGAGTTCTCTCTTCTTTTTCTGTATTGAAATCTTTTGGTTCCGAGAATAGCACATCTATTTTTTTCACGCTTAAAAGTGTGCTTTATTTTTTAAAAGGCAAAAAGGCGTCTAAAAACCACAACAAACAAAACAATATCACAAAAAACACAATTTTGGGTGGAACCGATAACAACTCGAGGGTTTCACCCGACTGAAAAAAAGAGGATAAGACGAAAACGGGAAAAGATGGTGAGGGTTTGAACTAGAAAAAGGCCGAACTCCGAAATGACCAGAAAGAAGAACAATGACAATGCGCCCAGTAAAGTTGGTGATCGTCGGCGACGGAGCCGTCGGGAAGACATGCATGCTGATCTCGTATACCACAAACGCCTTTCCAAACGAGTATATTCCAACCGTCTTTGAAAATTATAACACGTCGTTGGTTGTTGATAACCAGAAGATTAATTTGGGGTTGTGGGATACTGCCGGACAAGAGGATTATGTTTGTTTCATTCTCGAAAAGGGTTTCGACTGTTTTTTGAATGGTGTGAACTAATGATATAGGATAGATTAAGACCATTGAGTTACCCCTCCACTGATGTCTTCTTATTGTGTTTCTCAGTCATTGCTCCAGCCTCATACGATAACGCGCAAGTCAAGTGGAAGAATGAAGTCGAAGAACACTGCAAGGGAGTCCCAATTATATTAGTTGGAACGAAAATAGATATCAGAGACGACCCAGAACAAATGAAAAAACTCACCGAGAAAGGAATCACCCCGAAAACAGAGGCCGATGGACAAAAACTTGCACAGGAAATCGGTGCAGTTAAATACATCGAATGCTCCGCACTCACCCAACAAAATCTTAAACTGGTCTTCGAAGAAGCAGTCAGAGCCGTTCTCTCAAAGACTCCAGCAGACGCGGGAAAGAAGGGAGGAAAGGGCGGAAAAGGAAAGTGCGCCATGTTCTAATCATTTCTATCGTGAAGTTTTTGGTTTCATTGGGTGAGATCAATTTTCTTAGGCAAATTGGTTGACACGTCTACATTTGAATCTCTAAGATATTTGAAATCAGTGGAAGTGGTATCTTCTGATTTTTTTATTTAATTATTAGCAAAGCTTTCAAATAATATTAAAATTGAATACAAAAAGGAGTAAACAAACTTGAAATGAAGGGGAATTAAGGCTTATTACTTATAGGAAAATAGAACTTGTTTTTAATTCAAATAACTCGAAACGGCGTATTTATTCTTTTGGTATCATTTACTTCTTATTTTTTATGATTTAAAAAATATTTAAGTAGAAAATGGCAAAAAGATAATAGAACTCAAAATAATGCTTTTATAAATGTTGAAATTTGGGCAATTTTCAGTTAGATTGATCGAATTATCACATTCTATTTTTATGCTGTATTCTCCTTTTTATTTAAATACAAGATACGCAAGTTTAATGAATAAACACGGGAAGTTATTGACTTATAAATAACACAACAAATTTATTGATATTGGTTCTATACTTTTTATATGATATTTCAAGTCTCCCGATATTTCATTTCAGCAAGTGGGAAAATCAGACTTTAACCAATAAGTTGAATCAAGAATAATAAGTTTTTCAGTATTTTTTTAAAGACCAATTCAAACTAGTATTATTTAAATAGTCGAAAAACAGCAATATCAAAAATTTGGTTAATTTTATTCAACATCAAAGACTAAAAGTGGTTACTAATATTACGATTTTTTAGTAACGATGAAATAAAGCCCCTGATTATTGATACTTACTTATAGAAAGTGGCTCATTTTCTTTTCCATTTTACAATGGAAAAGAAAACTTGCTTTTCACAAAAAACATGCAAAATTGCAATTAAAGCTTTTATTTGCCCTGGTTGCCATTGAATTAATATATTATTAAAACAAGATTTATGCACGCCAGCAATCAATTCTAAGGCTGTATTTAACATTATAATTTGAAGTACTACGCTTTTTTTAAAACTGGATAATTAAACAATGAGTGCACAACTTCCACCAGTTCCGCCCAAGCCAACCCACGCTCCACCCACTGTAGCACCACCACGGCCAAATCACGCAGCCCCACAACCAAAAAGAAAGATCAAACCCTCACCGCCGTCTTCTTATCATGAGGGTATTGCGAAAAATTTTGACGTCTTTGACCAAAACACAAACAATGTGGACGACAAAACAGACGGACTCAGAAAGCGTGCACCAACAACAACTCGAACATCCAACTCAATGCAATCTCGAAATAGGGGATTAACTGTTTCAAAGAAAATTGAGCAAAACTCGATCTCCCCAATTTCACCGGAAGAGTACAAATTGGCATGTCCACCACCTTCTAAAGTACCTCCTCAACTCTTTAACAAACCACACCAAAACGTCTCGTTTGTATCCAAATCTATTTCGCCACAGGGTTTTGAGAAAAGTTCGTTTTCAGATCACTCGTTCACACCATCACCAAAAGACCGAATCGACATCGCCAATTATATCCAGAAATATCCAAGTCCAACACTCAACTCGAATACCATAGAAATAGAAGAGAAGAATACTAAAGACAAGAATGTCAAAGAAAAAACTCAGAAGGTCAAAATTGCATCTCCGGAAAAAGAAAAAAAGTCGATTCCTTTGGCTTCCCTCCCACCACCATTTGTTAAGACCGAATCGTCAAGTTCATCGATCGGATTGGTTTCGTCGCCATTAACACCAAGATCGACTAATTCACAACATTCACAACAAAATATTCCTTTGGCATCACTCCCTCCTGTGGGTACTACTCACAGTATACAACTGGCTCAATTGCCTCCAACAACATCGAAAAACACTGTCACCCTCGCAGCTCCCCCTCCTCCAACTATATCTTCTAATATCCAACTCGCAGCCCCACCACCTACGAGTCAAGTCCATTCAATAACACTGGCAACGCCTCCACCACCAACTCCACTTGCAGTACCCCCACCTCTCCCCCCACAAAGTATTCACATGGCAAAGTCGTTCCAAGGCGCGTCAAGTCCACAAGAGGGCGGAGTCACTCCACGAGGAAAAATAGTGTTAATGTTACGAGAAGTACAAAAGGATTTGGTGTCACAAGGGGGGTCGAAGAAAAAGGGCTTTAATCAAGGTACAATGAGTCGCGTGACACCAATACAGAAATTTAATACTAATATCAAGCGGGTCAACGTGACGGGATTCGCGTTGCCCGAATTGAGAAATACACACAGTGGGATGGACGATTCAGAAGAAGAGGAGATCAGAGGGTTCTTCTCTGGGAATGACAGCGAGGTACTAGAAAGCGCGTGGAAGTCACTTGAGTTCGAAGAAATAATTCGGCTTGAATTTGATACCATTATATGTGTCAAAGGAATGTGTACAACTCTGCCATCAACGTCTTGTATTGGCGACTCTATTCTCCCTAGTTTTTAATTCATTTCTCATCTGTGTTTACTTCTTGATGTATATTTTGGGGAATTTGAGTGGGACGTGAGATCTCGTTTGAATAAGATTGTGAAGACAATAGAAAAATTCAATCAATTGTATTAGTCGGACTCGTCCATCTTGTTGCTGGAGGTACTCTGACTTTCATCTTCGGAATGTTTTGAGTCGTTTTCGGAACTATTGCCGGACTCAACTTCCATTTGGGTGGACACATTCTCTTCGCTACTCGACTCACTAGTATTCTCTGAAGATGTTTTCATTTCAATGTTGCCCGGGACAATTTCAATATCTTCCATTTTGATTTCTTCTTTCTTCTCAGACTCTTTTAAGAAGTGTGGCATGTTCAAACACATATTGACGAGCGCGAGTGTCTGTTGACTCCTATATTTAAGTTTCCATTTTAAGAACTATTAGAATAGTAATAATACTTGTAGTATTGAATACCAATTAAATATAGAATATAAACTATAACACAATAATTTAGAGTAAAGGAGTATAATAAAACAATTAATAATAATACTATACTATTACATATCAATTATAGCACAATATATAAATTTAATACTAATGAAAACAAACTGAGAGGAAACCGCCTTGTAGGAAGACCCAATAGATTTGAACAAGGTTCTTAAGTGTGGCAAATACTCGAACGACGATGGGATAGCCGTTTGTGAGAGAGATGTACTTGGTTTGAGTAAATTTGAAGCGTGGAATTGGAGTAAGAGTGCAGTGAAGTAGATTGCACGATGGACGAGTAACCCGTTCAATTCCTTTTGGAGCATCTGGAGTGCGATTGGCATCAAAGCGATTGGTAAGTGTGCGGCGACCCCTGGGAACTTTTCAGAGGGCATTGTTCTAAAAATAGTCTTGATGAGACCCTCATCGTTCAAGTGGAGTGCAAACACAAAAGCCATCAGATATTGTTTCTCTTCCAAATATTGGAGAGCAGCTTCAGGCGTGATTGCTTCCGTCAAGCAATATGGTTGGAACGCGTGTTTCCCTGAAGTATACATTTGGACACCAGCATCAGTCAATATAGCCATAGTCTTTCCAGCTGGAGACACACTAATACTTTCCGTGTAGATCTCTTTCTTCGTAGAGTGAGCCGCAACAACCCTCAGCATTTTGTTTCGAATCGAGTCGTACATGTTAATGTACGACATGTCTTCAGTGATTTTCGTCTTGTATATCATCACCTTCGATACTATATTATAATATACTATAAATTTACTATTCCCACCGATGACTACCATCTCATCATTGTCACTCAAGAACTTCACAGTCCCCGCATACTTCTCTTTCACTACCATTTTCTGTGTCGAATTGTATGATGTCCCTTCATTCATAGTGGCTCCATTAGCTAGTGCAGCTAATTTAACACCACCAACCAAATCATTTCGACACGACAACAACCCAACTTGACTCTTCTCTTCACAGTCGTACAAATAGAGATACCCGTCACGGCATGACGTGATGTATAAACTGCCGGACTGATTCACCGAACACGCCATAACCTCGGCAGGGTGGTCGATAATCTCAATACTGCTATTTGATAAGAAATTGACACATCGAGCAGTCTTATCCCATGACGTGGTCATCAGTTCTGAAGTCACCGGATGAATACACATGTCTGTTATTGGACCACTGTGTCCACGAAGTTCGTCGAGGTTCTTACTAGTACGAACGGAGTACAAGAACACCACCATATCTTCACTACTATATGCTGCTATGATATCCCCGTCTCGAGGCTCAACTACAACGCCATTCAATTCGTGGCACTTGGCTTGTAACACTCTGTAACACTTCTTTTTGACCATATCAAAGACACAGATCTTGCCATTCCCACCTACACTTATCAACGACAAACTGTTGGGCGAAAAGACCATGGAATGAACAGCACAGTCGAGACCTATATCCCCATCTAAGCGCATATTAAGATGCGCAACATTCTCCCCAGTGCCGATATTCCAGACATTGATAGCTCCACTACGGTCCCCAGTAGCAATGAACTGTCCATTTGGAGATATAGTGTGGCACAAGATTTTCGCTTGATGGCCTATCGCTTTCATCAAGTAAGTCTCTGTTTTCCACTCGTAGACAGTCAAATAATTCGTTTTTGGATCACCAACAGCTACTAACAGTCCACTTGGTGACAACTTCGTTTCGCCAGTTACCGTGTCTGTCTTGTACGCATGCACTTTTGTATATGAAGTGGTCTCATATAAGATAACCTCCCCTTCGACATTAAAGACGGCGTACTCTTGCCCGATGTCCCCACTTTGAATCTTCTTCTGCACTTCTCCAACAGCAAATTTGGACTTTGCTTCAAAGGTCTTAGTGTTGGCATCATATTCAAAGGTCTGTAACGCACCAGCACTACTCACTAAAGTCAACGTGTTTTCATTCAGTGAAGAACACACTACAGGGAAGCTCCAGTCGGCTACTCTAACTGGCTCAGAACCCTTACAGTCGGTCATAAAGACGTTATTACTCTCCGTCATAAAGATCACTTTGTGCTTCATCCATTGTATCGAAACAACCTTTTCCAGTGGGAAAGTAGTCACCGACTGTAACTCGGGCTGAAGGCTTGTTGATTGGGACAGAATTGGCATTCGCCAGATTTCTATTTTGCCTTCATACCCGACGGCTAGAAGTGGAAATTTGGGGGAAAACTTGACACAAGTGATCAAAAAAATCGATTCGAATGTTGTCAAATGGTTTCGTGTTGCAAGTGAAAAGAGTTCGACCTCCCTTGATTGTAAGACGGCAACTATCATCGTGTCGTGGCTGTCCACAGCTAACAGTCGGATTTTGTTCCTTGCTTCACTTGAAAATGTCGAGTTCGTGTTTGTCAGTAAGTTGGTCACATGAATTCGATTGCCAGAACAACTGTACAACGTCGTACTGTCAGAGGAGAAACACATGTTCCCAGACGTGTTAAAAACACCAAATACATTCTCTAACTCGTATTTGTTCATCTGGGTTTAAAGTTCAAAACTTGACCTCCCTAATTATTTTTAACTCCTTTTTACTATTTAATTTGATTGATATGTTATTAGAAATACTATTCAAAGAAAGAACTGGTGTTTGTCTTCTTTGAAATAAAATATCAAAATTTAGGGTTTTTTATAACTAAAAAATACAAATGAAAGATTACATTTGTTAACATCATACATATTTATTATAGTATTATAATTTATTATAGTTAATATCATTTTATTGGTTTAAAATACTAGTATTAATTATTAAAATAAATAATAGTTCAGTTTATAATTATTTATTTACAAAAAAAATAATTGGATAAAACTAGTAGTAATTACAGTTTAATTAAAAATAATAATTATTTGACTGTTATTAATTAATATTATTTTATTTATTATATTCAATAATATTAGTAAATATGTTATTTGTACAATTCAATTGTTGATGGAAAATGTTATAATAAAGTAAACAAATATTAATTAAATAATTTATAACTAATGGTACATTTTCTGAATGTATTATTATTGTAATTTGATTATTAAATTAAATAGTAATCTGAAAAGTATTAATAACTTAACTAATAAAATAAAAGAGTTCTGAACAAAACTCCAAAATTGAATGGATACGACTTTACCGAGTATAAAGCAATACTTTATCACACCACTAACTCCAAAAGAAGAAGGGGTCATGAATAAAGTTAATGAATTACTTCATGGAAGCTCAACGGATATAGCGCGGGCATATACATTTCTTCACGACGGCATTGCACGCCCTGCTTTTGTCCAACTACTTTTGAAAGTAAACCCACTGCTTTACACCTTCACGTTGCAATCAAAACCGATTGGAGACTGTACTTCTATTATTAACTCATTGCTCAGCTTTTTATATCAAATGATACAAACCGCTGGAGACGATTATATCAAATTACTGTTACTCCCTGCGACTAAAATCTCTATTTCTTTTGGGTTCTTGTTATCAGACCACACTCTTGTGAACACCCAATTGTTGGGACTGCAAGTACTTTCTCTCATTCCTATCAACCACGACTTCATTGAGTTGATCCCTCCACTCAGCTTTTTGGCTATCGGACAACACGCGGAATTGGCTCTCCGCATTCTGAAGAAGGTCGTCACGACCAAAGAAGCTGTCACTTATTTTGTCGAAACTAAGTGCGTTGGACATCTGTGCATTGCACTCCACACACAAAGTACACACGACAAAGAGGCTTCGCTTGAAATCATTGTCTCGCTCTTTAGAGACTGCGACGACAGTTTAAGAGAGAAGATTGCTACTGAAATTAATGAAGAGTCTATTCTTGAACACGGATTCTTTGTCTTCACGCAAGGCACTCTAAAGATGAAGGTCTTTATGTTAAATATCATTGCTCATATGTCATATGTCAGCCCATGCCAGATGGCTATATTTGAGAGCGGGATAATGCCCCTTGTTGTGAAGATGTTAGGAGAGAGTGAGAATCGTGTAGTGATGAGTGCTTTAGTAGTCATCCAGTACATCACTGAAAGTCAAGTGAATTGCGACGAGTTTGAGGGAATTGGCGTGGTGCCCCTCCTCACGAATATTCTCAAGAAATTTCCGGACTCTGTCGAACAGAAAGTCGTGATCAATGCGATGGAGGCTTTAAAGAATTTGAGTACAAATGATACTCTAATGGAGGAGATGGTCGTGTTTGATACACAAAAGGTGATTGAAGACCTTGGGAAGAAAGAAGGTCTTGTCAAGAGAGTGAAAGACAACATAGATTTGGTCACTGTCAAAATCAAATCATTTTCAACTCTTCAATTTAAAGGGGAAGAAGTCTCTTCACAGGAGCGAGCGACTGCACACGAGTTCTTAGGGAAAGTTTATAATGTGTATAAATACCGAACTTTGTATGGAGACTACGACAAAGAAAAAACAGAAGAGCGACTGAGTGCAATTCGAGAGTTACAAAAAGTCTTTGTGGACCAATACAACGAAACGTTTGATATCAACAAACTCTCGTTTGATAATGGTTTGTTTCTTATTGGTTAATACCTAGTAATAATTACTAGTAACTGATAACTATTAATTAATAATAAATGTATTATTATTGTAACTATAATAACAAGGCACTGATTGACTAGTGAACGAATTAAACGTCGACATTTATTTGAATGTCTCTGAGTCTTTAGACCATTGCGAAGAGACTATGGACCTTCCTTCAATGTCCACGATACTTTTGAGTAAAATATCACAAGAGGATTTGACGAGATTTTATAGTCACCGACTTGACTGTGCGATCAAGAAGAATACAGAGAACTTTGTATTCAAGGCTGAACAAAAGCATTTGAACTTGATCGACCAATTTGTTGACGGCTTAGTTGAACCCATGAAAGAGATATGTAGTGTTTCGGACACACAGACATACTTCAATGTGATAGAAAAGGTCCAAACGATAGTTGGGGGTATCCAAGAGAGTATTCCGGCAGACTCTTCATTTGAAGTGTTCTTGGATAAGTACATGGAGGGGATGGCATCGAACTCCCTGTACAAGACATATGCCATTTTCATTAACGCACAAGACAGAAACACGTTTGAGTACCCACAAAAGATCGCTGAAATCATCAAAGCGTACGAAAAGGAGAATAAAAGTGTTGTAGATGTCATGGGAGAAGTGTACCATCACATCAATAAGCTCCACATGTACTTTGATGTCTTAACCGTCACCCACAGTTGGTCGAAACTGTCGAAAGCAGTTGAGGAGGGCAAAGACATTCTTAAAAAGGGCGAACAGGCCCTCCAGAACATCCTTCAAAAGATCGAGTTGAATTACTTGGGCATATGCCTCAAGAAGTTAGGAGTTGGGATCGAAGAGAATGTTGTCAAGTCACAACAAGTGCTTCTGCGATATAAAGGGATGCAATTGGTCACAATGGTACTTGTCGAAACGAAACTTGTGTTCCTTGTGATGCTCGACAAGAAGTTCCGTATGCTTGAGGCGTTCCCTGTTAAAGACCTCGAGCTGATTGGCGTGATGCAAAGTGACAAATCGAATAAAGCCATATTCGGATGTGTTGGAGAGTCGTTTGATATCGTTTTCTTTAACTCAAATGAGCTCTTTGAGTGGAAACATGTGTTTGGTGACGTTATCAAAGGTGGGCTTTGTTAAGTCACTCTATTCATACTATTCTAGTTATTCTTCTCAAATAGTTAAAATGAAGTTCCAATGTATAATAAATTATAGTACAATACAAGTCATTCACTCATTAATAGTAATTAAATAGAAAAAGGACGTTTGAATGGTTCATTGGGTATTTCAATGAACATTTCGTCAATTAAAGTACTTCCAATTTTTTGAAGGTATTCCAACAAGAATTTTCGTTGTTGAGATTTTGTATGTAAAGTCAAGAAATTGGGTGTGTTGAGTAAATAGAGGAAGTAATATCTATATAGTGGGGGGATGTCCTCCAAATTAAAAACCGAAATGGTGTCATTATCACTTCTATTTTGTATCACAACTTTAGTTATTGTATTCCCATCAAAACGATTAAAAACTTCGATCACTTTCTCAAAACTGACTGCTTGACTCTGTCTAAGCATTTTCCACTCATAAACAGAAGATTCAAAAGAGTGAATATTTTGTGTGTGAAAATTTTTTAAAAAGTGAAAAATTTTAGTTGGCTGAAAAATGGTCTTTTGAACAAACATTTCATTCACAACATTTTTTGAAATCGCACCAACAGGCGCCCCTAAAACTGCCTCATCTGGGATATACAATACCTCAAAATATCTTCTTAATTTTTCGTCGATCTTTTCTATCACTTTTTTGACACTTGCACTGAAATAGTCGGGCACCACATACAACTTGGGGGTCCCATAAAAACACACCAAACTACTTGTGAAATTGGTATAAATCCACTCGACAAGATCTTCTTCGTCTAAATGATCCTTTTCCTTTACAAAACAATTCAACTCTCTCAGTGCGTTAAGTTCTTGTATGGACTTTGAAGCGACTACCGGTTGTATTACCGCCCCATCTCCTCTCACTCCACCAAGAAGTCGATAGTAGCACCCACTTCGTGTTAACTTCAAAAGTTGTCCTTTCTCTCCCCATGCCTGTGGGACAACAACTTCAGTCGTTTCAAAGTCCTTCAAGAAGAGGTCTAAAAAATCGATATACACAAAATCACCATCGGAGTATTCAGAATGACTTTTGACAGCGCGGAAGACATCAAAGACCTGTTCGGGTCGCACTGCATATGAAAACTCCAACTTCGTAGTTATTGTTTTGAAGCCATTCTTTGTCATCTCCTTCTCAAATAAATCGTGTTTGTCCTGTTCACTTTGAAAAGCGCCATTTTGCGCAAAATACTTGTCACGTAAGACATTGAGAGCGACACCTTTTCCTTCGTTGAGTTCTGACTGCGCCCAAGTAAATACAAAATTATTCTCCGCTTTTAAAGGGGTGTCCATTAAGTCCGGAATGGCATCAAATTGTTCTTCTTCATTGCGATGTATCAATTTGACTTTCGGAAGGTTGTTCATCTCACTCATCAAGTCGTCTATCAGGCTTTTTTCTTTCTGATGTTCTTTCACTTTCTCTTGTAATAATAGTGTTGTTTGACTCTTTTGAATTGTTCCAAAAACAGGGGTTTTGACAATTTGTGGAATTTTGGAAATTAATGGTGGTGGTGCAATTTGAGGGTTAAAATTTGTTTTTTTCATTTCGTCGAATTTGGGTTGTGTTTTGAAAGGGGTGAGAATTTCAGAGTTTTTGAACGTTTCTTTTTCACATCCAACCGACTTAAATATTTCATTTTCAAAGTTTTCAGGTTTATTGAATATTTTGTCAAGTGTATTTTCCTTTGAATTTTTGGCCACTGTATTGGTAAGTTGGTTTTTTACTTGTTTTAGTTGTTCATTAGAATTTGTTTGTTTATTCAGATCTCTTGTGGTGTGGTGTGATTGATCCTCAAGAACAAATATTTGTTGAGAAGAGAAGTTGAAATCGGAATGATTTTCTGAGGCGTCGTCGTTCTCATCGTCTATAACAATTATATTATCAATGTTTGTGTTGTCACGATTGGGCTCAATCTCTTTAAAATCAGATATCAATGGCTCTTCACTGTTTGTCATTAATGAAAAACACTATTATTCAGTTCAATTGGTGAAGTACTTTTTATCAACATCATTTGCTTTTTTGAATAATGGTTCATTCCGTTATTTTTTTATTATTTCTTAAACTATTAACAATTGTTATTTGTTATTAAATATTATTATAATAATAATATTAATTATAATTTATTCTATTATTATATATATACAATATAAATAAATTATTCTATTTATTATATTGTATAATAATATAAAATATTAATAATTTAATTATACATGAGTTTATTATTATAAATAATAAAAAAATATTATAAAATTGTTAATAGTTAATATTAAATATAAAATAATTATAATCAATTAAAAAAAATCATTTTTTTTAATTTATCTTACAGTGAAAATACGTTTCAAAATGATGGGAAAATAGTTTAAAAATGACAGATTTTATTTTAAAAGGACAAGATTTTTAATAAAAAGGATGAAAATCATAAAAAGTGATGGAGATTTGTTTTAAAAAGGACAGGTATTTTTATTGAAAAGGACAGGATTTTTGATAAAAAGGACGAATTTCGAAAGAAATGATGATTTTCATGAAAAAGGATAGGAATTTATTATAAAAAGGATGGGATTTTTGTTAAAAGGATGGATTTCAAGAAAATGTGACAGCCATTTTTTTGAAAAAGGATAACATTTTTAACAAAAAGGATCGATTTTTTAATAAAATATAATTTATTTCCGACATTTTCCCGATTTTACACATAAAACACAAACAATTTAGAATTACAAGTCTTTTCTTTCATATGCTTTTGCCCAAATTTCATTGCGACATCTCTCCATAGACACTATTACTTCAGCCGGTTGAATTGAAATAAATCCATCTTTGATTTTTTCAAGAAGATCGCCAAGGCCAGTCCAAATACGTATGTCATTTTCTACACGCCTTTTCCAAAACCCAAATACAGTTTCGATTGGGTTGAGTTCAGGACTATAAGCTGCATTATAAACAATTGAATGATGAGTGTTAGTAACAAGTTCCCTCAAATGGTTGTGTATAGTTCAATTGTCACACCAAAACACTGCTGAAATGTTGTTGTCGTCACAATGTTTCATCAATTCCATAAAATATCTATTGAAGACCTCTTCATCACTTTTTCCTGCAACCAAAAAAGTTGTTCCCATTCCTGTGTAGTCTATTGAACACAAAGCAGATAGTCTTTGTCCGTTTTTTGCCTTTGTCACGAAGAGTTTTTCACCGATTGGACTCCATCCGTAAACCGCAGTGCAAGCAATACGCCAAGAGGATTCATCAATGCAAACCCAGGTTTTTCCCGAGTGCATCTGACCAACCAATTCTTCGATCGCGACGATTCTTTTCTCTTTGTTTTCGTTAGTGTTTGCAACTGCGCCTCGTGGAGTTTCCCTTTTGAAACTTAAAACGGGCAGAGTTCTGCCCTCATCTATACCAGTTTTCCTTTCATGAAGTTTCTAATCGCGCTTATTGAAGGAATCATTTTGTCGATTGTATCCAATGCTTCTTGTGATATTTGAGTTGGAGAATTGTTGTTATACCCCAATTCAAATTGTTCTTGTGTAATTTCTGTGACTTCTTCGACTGTTGTTACATTGGCATTTACCAACACTTTTTGGATGTTTGATCGGATACATTTGACTGAAGATGTTGAATCTTTTTCAATTAATTTCTTTACCAAATGCTGAAAAGGAATTACTCTGCTTTTTTTCTTGTAGTGGTCTTTTGGTAAAATTGAATTACCATTTCTTAATTTGACTAACATATTTTTGACGGCCTTGATTTTAATACCAAGTTCTCCACTATAAAACACATCGTCTTTAGTGTCCCCATAAACTCTAAAAAGTTTAATCATATCAAACTTGTTTTGTATTGTTACTTTGTGATAAGGTCTTTTGGTTTGGTTTATTGATTCTGACCGAGTTTTGGGTCTTCCCCTTTTTCTTTTAGTAGCTTGGGGAAGAATGAAAGGTGTTTTAGATTCAACCTGGCGCTGTTGTTCATTCCATTGGATAAGTGGTGGATTATCTATAAAATCGTTCTTTGCTATTGGGTCTCTAGCGTCGATGAATGTTAAAAACTGAGACATTTAAATCAATTATTAAGATTGAGATCAAAATAATGTAAATCCTTTTTTATTTTAATTTGATTATTGATTTATACACCTATTTTTGAAACAAGTTTATGATATTCTAAATTGTTTGTGTTTTTATGTGTAAAATCGGGAAAATGTCGGAAATAAATTATATTTTATTAAAAAATCGATCCTTTTTGTTAAAAATGTTATCCTTTTTCAAAAAAATGGCTGTCACATTTTCTTGAAATCCATCCTTTTAACAAAAATCCCATCCTTTTTATAATAAATTCCTATCCTTTTTCATGAAAATCATCATTTCTTTCGAAATTCGTCCTTTTTATCAAAAATCCTGTCCTTTTCAATAAAAATACCTGTCCTTTTTAAAACAAATCTCCATCACTTTTTATGATTTTCATCCTTTTTATTAAAAATCTTGTCCTTTTAAAATAAAATCTGTCATTTTTAAACTATTTTCCCATCATTTTGAAACGTATTTTCACTGTATCATATTGTTAATGATAAAATTTTTCAATATTTTTTTTAAATTCAATAATATTGTTATTATCTCATCATAAAACTGATATTATGATTACAATCTCGCCTAATCACAATCTTTCAATTCTGAGTATTTAAGGCTGGAAAAAAAAGGAAAGGACATCAGAAAATGAAAATGAATGTTATCATTCAAGCACTCTTCTTGGTTGTAGTTCTTGCTGAAGACTTGATGCTTTTTGAGGATGGAACACTTTATGAAGGCTTTGAGATTTTGAATCCAGACAACTTGACTGTTGAGTGTGAGTACACTAAACGCTCCAATTGGGTTGCAACAACTATGAATAAAGACCAGATGATCGTGTTTACAAAGGAAGGCACTGTCAGTACTAAAGTCGCTGACAAAGACAAGTATTATAAGTCAATTAGATTCATGGTGAGATACGACAGTGATGACGTCAAGGAGATTCCAGTCAACGTAAAAATCTTTAACGAGACATTCACTACTTTATACAACGCAAACAAGCTAAACACCATCTCTGGGTACTCTGTCAAAGTGAAGAAGAACAACAGTCAGAAAATGACAATTAAACTTGACAACTTCGATTTGAACGACAAGGTCTCGACTATCATCTTTTCTTTGCCCGAAGAGAACTCGCAGTCGATCAAACTCCTTCTTGACCAAATCAGACTTGACACAAGAGATTCGCAAAACAGCGAGTATGATGGGACCAACGAGAACGCCGCTTCATCTTTGTTGTGTGGATCGGCTCTTCTTTTTTCTGTTCTTTTAGTGATCTTCTAATTGTTTTAACTTATCAATTGTTATACATTTTTATTCGTCGGTTGGAAAATAAAACATCTCGTTCACAAAAGCATTAAATTCACAGTTGGAGTTGTACGTTCTGGTCGCACCCAAGTTTATATATTCCTTCGTAGTTTTCGAGTGTCACAAAGACCAAATCGTTCCATTTACCATCCCACTGATGGTCGAGTTCATTATCCCACTTTTTTCATCGTTCTGTACGACGTAGTACCCTTTTGCTTCGCATGTTTCGTCATCGACAATGACAAAGTGGTAGATGACACCAATATACTCACTTGTTTTTCTTCCCTCTTTTTGGACTTTTCTGACATTGTCATGAATCCACGCTGTTGGCGCCGCAACGAACAAGTCAGTTGTATCATCCGCGTTATCAAAAGCGGCCATAAACAGCGCAAAATTTTGGTAACTGCCCCAACGAGGAAACGGAATGAGTGTTGCTCTCAAATCGATTGTGGTTCCATCGACTTTTCTCACGACATATGCAACACCCCTGTCAAGAAAAGGGTCTGCAATAAACGCGTATTTGTTCGAATGTCCAACGCCACCACCAAGTTGGAACAGATTCCTTTTTTGTGGTGGGATGATTATAGGTGGAGGCAAAGTCACTGGGAACTCTGGTTTTGATGGTAAATCGACGACGCTCATTAAAAATACGTTTTGCGAAATATCAGCTTTGGGGTCGTCTCGAGACTTTGGAAAGCCAACTAAGATATCGTTCCCACTAATTGCGACGTTTTTGAAATTGTCGACAGAAATCGTTGTGAGGAAATCGAAATATTTAGTGTCGAAAGTCAGATACGCTGTTTTGGTTTCATCAATAACATATAAGATGCAAACGGCTCCTGTTAACCCTTTTCCATAGTCCACAGTCATTCCAAGTAGCACAACGAGTTTGAATTTATCAGTGATTATCAAGTCAAGTTGCCTTGCAATGTTACTGAACTTGATTTCTGAACCATCTTCTCCTTTCTCTTGGAAGTCGATATATTCAATTTTGAAAGTGATCATATTGTTCATATCACCATTTGGTGGGAAGTATGAAAAGTGGAGTCTTTGTTTCATCTCAGTTGCATTCATTTCTTCAAATAAAATTTTGCCACCAGCTGTGGAGGCATCGTCCAATCCGGACCACACGTGCTGCTCGTCAAAGCATTTTGAAGTGTTTTTGTACACCGTAGAAACGTAGTAATAACAGAATTTTTTGTTTTCAATTGTTTCGTAGACCACCCCACGATTCACTTTAAATAGTTTGGTTGGCTTTTGTCCTTGTGTGTCATAGTACTTTGTTTTGACAAGGCAAAGATTCATCTTGTTTTCAGTTGAAGAGGCTGCAGAGCAATGTGTTATGAGTACAATCAGCAGCAAATTAATACACCCCATTACTACAGAAGTGATTATAAAGATTTGGTGGGGTTCTAGGTGTAAATGATACAAAGACAATCAATAACTATTACTCATTGAATTCAAAAAAGCAAGGAAGATGACCATCAACCTTTTGCTTTGTTCATTCTAACACTAAATTATTGGTAACAAAATTGCAGAAATGGTCAACAATTATTAATTTATTAAGACAATTAGGGATTTTATTGAATACTATTATTGGAAGTGCTTAGAATGTAATTAATAATAATTGATTCTAATTGGCTGTTTATATTATATCAAAATTAATTAATTATTATTAAAATATATTAATGAAAACTATAAATAGAATTAATTAACTTAAGTTATATATTATTTAATAATTCATAAAGTTAAACAAATTTATATAAAGAGCTAGCATAATTTGCGTTTTGTTTTGAAATAATAATTGGTAACATTCTGAGGAAAGTATCATAGTAAAAATAATATATTAAAGTCTTTTTTTAAATTTTAAAATATTAAACTATTTATTTTGGTTGAGGTTAAAACAATGGCAAAAATGAAATATAGTTAAAATACTGTTTAAGTAATAACCATGAAATTGTATTTGCTTTGTTTTCGGTTAAATTTTATTTTTACAGTCATTAACAAAAGTTTGAAAA